CATCATTCAATTAGGGTTCTCCGCCTCACTACTAGGCCCCTCGGCTCGGTGTGTGGGTCAGGAGACAGACCTGTCTCTAGACCGGCTACCGCGAGCCCACTCTCCTCGCCAGTACTTCTTCGCCTGGCTGCTGAAGAGGCGGATGTCTCCCCGTTCCTTGACCGCCACTCTCTGTTTAGCTCTTCCATCACTGTACTGGATGACACCGGGAGCACTGGCCTCTGGCTCTTGCGAATAGTGCTGCCTCGACCCCTTCCTCTGCTGCCACGTGTCTGCTCGCTCCTAAAAACATTGCCTCCTCTGCCACTCCTTGCATGTTGTCTGACATACTCTTTAATTCAACGATTCTGTGTCCCTGAGTAACAATTCTGTGTCTGTCCCCGTAAAGTAACAATTCTGTGTCCCTGAGTAATGTTTCTGGTGGCCCTAAGTAAAACGTTGTTCTGTGGCCCTCAGTAACAATTCTGTGGCCTCAGTACAGTAACAATTCTGTGGCCCTCAGTAACAATTCTGTGTTCCTCAGTAACAATTCTGTGTCCCTCAGTAACAATTCTGTGTCCCTCAGTAACAATTCTGTGACCTAAGTTAACAATTCTGTGTCTGTCCTGAGTAACAATTCTGTGTCCCTCAGTAACAATTCTGTGTCCCTCAGTAACAATTCTGTGACCCTCAGTAACAATTCTGTGTCCCTCAGTAACAATTCTGTGTCTGTCCCTGAGTAAGAATTCTGTGTCTGTCCCTGAGTAAGAATTCTGTGTCCCCTGAGTAACAGTTCTGTGGCCCTAAGTAACAGTTCTGTGGCCCTCAGTAACAATTCTGTGTCCCTCAGTAACAATTCTGTGTCCCTCAGTAACAATTCTGTGTCTGTCCCTGAGTAACAATTCTGTGTCTGTCCCTGAGTAAAATTCTGAAGGGGAGTAACAATTCTGTGTCTGTCCTGAGTAACCAATTCTGTGTCTGTCCTGAGTAAACAATTCTGTGTCCTCTGAGTAACAATTCTGTGTCCCTCGAGTAACAATTCTGTGTCCCTGAGTAACAATTTCTGTGTCCTGAGTAACAATTCTGTGTCTGTCCCTGAGTAACAATTCTGTGGCCCTAAGTAACGTTTCTGTGGCCCTAAATAACGGTTCTGTGGCCCTCAGTAACAATTCTGTGTCCCTCAGTAACAATTCTGTGTCTGTCCCTAAGTAACGATTCTGTGGCCCTAAGTAACGTTTCTGTGGCCCTAAGTAACGTTTCTGTGGCCCTCAGTAACAATTCTGTGGCCCTCAGTAACAATTCTGTGTCTGTCCCTAAGTAACGTTTCTGTGGCCTAAGTAACGTTTCTGTGGCCCTAAGTAACGATTCTGTGGCCCTAATAAGTAACGAGTAACGTTTCTGTGGCCTAAGTAACGTTTCTGTGGCCCTAAGTAACAATTCTGTGGCCCTCAGTAACAATTCTGTGGCCCTCAGTAACAATTCTGTGGCCCTCAGTAACAATTCTGTGTCTGTCCCTTAAGTAACAATTCTGTGGCCCTAAGTAACGTTTCTGTGGCCCTAAGTAACGATTCTGTGGCCCTAAGTAACGTTTTTGTGGCCCTAAGTAACGTTTCTGTGGCCCTCAGTAACAAATCTGTGTCTGTCCCTCAGTAACAATTCTGTGTCTGTGGCCCCCTAAGTAACAATTCTGTGGCCCTAAGTAACGTTTCTGTGGCCCTAACTAACGAATTCTGTGGCCCTAAGTAACGATTCTGTGGCCCTCAGTGAACAAATCTGTGTTCCCTCAGTAACAATTCCCACTGTGTCTGTCCCTAAGTAACAATTCTGTGTCCCTAAGTAACGTTTCTGTGGCCCTAAGTAACGAATCTGTGGCTGCCCTAAGTAACGTTTCTGTGTCCCTAAGTAACGTTTCTGTGGCCCTAAGTAACGTTTCTGTGGCCCTAACTAACGTTTCTCTGTCCCTAAGTAACGTTTCTCTGTCCCTAACTCTCTCCCTGCATACAGCCAGGTCTGCCTCTGTTGAATGACTGGAGGCAAATGGAGAATTCTAAAATGGCCGCCATTTATAGCTCGACCATTACACTGTGCTGGCTGGCTGGCTGCTGATTGGCTAATGCGATCACGTCATGAATGAATGCATTATGGGTCAGCGCGCCTTGTCTGCGCGCCTTCCCAGACATCCCCGCTCCGTCGCCGCACATGTCGCCGCCATTTTAGGAAAAATTTCGATTCGCGCATCCGAAGTCTGCTTATTTTCGGATTCGACGCGAATCGAAATTTTCCTAATATTCGAAACGAATTCCACTTCGCCTACTTCGATTCGCTCATCTCTACTCTTAAGTGCAAAGCAAGATATTACCTGATTAAGCTTCTCCCAAAATGTACAAGTTTTTAAAACTTAATTGTAACGTAATAAGTGCGAAGCTAGATATTACCTGGCAAAATGGATCAGGAACCCCTGATGACATCACGTATGATGAAACACATTGGGAGGAGCCAGGGCATACATCACCACGCATGTGGGCCGAATGTCGGCCATCTTGGATGTGGCCATTATCTTGATTTATCCTGTTTTAAATCAGTGATACTGAACTATGGGAGGTTAATTTATCTCTTGCATGTGTGATTTGGAGATATTAATGATTATAATCTGCGGAATTCAGAAGTGGCCATGGGAAAGGATTTGAATAGCTATTTGTTGTGAAGTGTGGATACAGTTTGTATGAAATCGGACCCGAAAGGCGTCTTAAAGCAATGTATTTTATGATCACTCTATAATTTGAGGGTCAAAATCTTCTGGTAAGCCTCCTGTTTGTACAAGGGTGGTGCGCACCAATGGGGTCCCACATACCAATACCTGGATCCATCATCCTCATAATTGAAATATCAGAGCAGCTATATTATTCACTACATATGGTGATTGCATGATATAATTACTATATTTGAATATTGGCTTAGGCATTCAGGTAGAGTTGCTGAGTTAATGTATCTATGTTAATTGGCACATTTGAGTATTTGAAATTTGCAATGTGTATGCATTTATGTTGTATACGTGTTAGCACTTGATGCATTCACTTATATTGATTATTGTATATATAGTGGGATGCATATTGGCCAAGTAATATCTGGCTTTGCACTTATAATGTTACAATTAGGTTTTTAAAAACTTGTACATCTTGGGTGCATCTTAACCAGGTAATATCTGACTTCGCACTTGTTAGGTATAATTTATTATTTTTGAAAACAAAAACATTCCCGCTGCAAATTGAAGGATAAACCCTGAGAAGTACCTTGTACTACTGGGTATAGGGAATCATGGTTCTATATATATATATATATATATATATATATATATATATAATATATATATATATATATATATAGAACCATGATAGGGAAAACATATAAAGAAGTGCAGAAAATGATAGGCTGCTCAGCTAAAATGATCACAAATACTTTAAAATGGTAACCAAAACCTGAAAGACGTGGAAGAAAGCAAAAAACTACCATTCGAATGGATAGAAGAACAGCCAAAATGGCAAGGACTCAGCCAACAATCAGCTCCAGGAAGATCAAAGAAGGTCTAAAGTTACCTGTGAGTACTGTTACAATTAGAAGACACCTATGTGAAGCCAAGCTATCTGCAAGAAGCCCCCACAAAGTCCCACTGTTGAAAAAAAAGACATGTGCTGAAGAGGTTACAATTTGCCAAAGAGCACATTGACTGGCCTAAAGAGAAATGGCGCAACATTTTGTGGACTGATGAAAGTAAGATTGTTCTTTTTGGGTCTAGTGGCCGGAGACCGTTTGTCAGACGACCCCCAAACACTGAATTCAAGCCACAGTACACTGTGAAGACAGTGAAGCATGGTTGCGCAAGCATCATGATATGGGGATGTTTCTCATACTACGGTGTTGGGCCTATTTATCGCATACCAGGGATCATGGAACAGTTTGAATACATCAGAATACTTGAAGAGGTCATGCTGCCTTATGCTGAAGAGGAAATGCCCTTGAAATGGGTGTTCCAACAAGACAACAACCCCCAAACACACACCAGTAAATGTGCAACATCTTGGTTCCAGACCAACAAGATTGACGTTATGGAGTGGCCAGCCCAATCTTCAGATCTTAATCCAATAGAAAACTTGTGGGGTGACATCAAAAATGCAGTTTCTGAGGCAAAACCAAGAAATAGAGAAGAACTGTGGAATATAGTCCAATGATCCTGGGCTGGAATACCTGTTCACAGGTGCCAGAAGATGGTTGACTCCATGCAACACAGATGTACAGCAGTTCTCAGAAACAGTGCTTATACAACTAAATATTAATTTAGGGATTCAAAGGAAAGCAAAATCTTCAAACATTTTTCAGTTTATATAGTGAATGTTTGAGTTTGTAAAGAAGAATTGCTTGACTCCTATATGTGTGAGTGTAGTATCCCCTCCCCCCTCGCTTTGACTGCATCTTATCTCTAGCCTCCTTTTTTTTTTCATCTCTTCTAAAATTCTGCTAACTTTGTGATTTGTATAGTACTGCTTAGACCTTGAAGAAGGGGACATTCCCCGAAAGCTTGTCCTCAAAATTGTATGTTAGTGCAAATAAAAAAAGTATCACGGACAGTACTCAATTGTTTCTAAAGAAGAATACAAACACTGCTATTTTTTTGAACAGTCTAATATTCACTTTTCTTCAATTTTTTTTAGAGGAACAACACAAATTTGATATATTTTTCTTCATGTTTTGATTTGGAATAGAATGTGTAGTGTTCCCAATGCATTTGTGTGTATGGAAATAAAAGCTATTAGAAGGATTTTGAGCTTTATTCACTTTTTTCAACACACTGCTATTATTTTGAACACAACTGTATATATACACACAATAACACAATATATTGCCAAAAGTATTGGGGCACCCCTCCAAATCATTGGATTCAGGTGTTCCAATCACCTTCATAGCCACAGGTGTATAAAATCAAGCCCCTAGGCATGCAGACTGCTTCTACAAACATTTGTGAAAGAATGGGTTGCTCTCAGGAGCTCAATGAATTCAAGTGTGGCACCGTGATAGGTGGCCACCTGTGCAATAAGGCGATCCTTGAAATTTCCTTGCTACTTAATATTCCACAATCAACTCTTAGTGGTATTATAACAAAGTGGAAGCAACTGGGAACAACAGCAACTCAGCCTCAAAGTAGTAGGCAATGTAAAACGACAGAGCATGGTGAGCGCATGCTGAAGCGAACAGTGTGCAGAAGTCGCCAACTGTCTGCAGGGTCAATAGCTAAAGACCTCAAAACTTCGTGTGACCTTCAGATTAGCACAACAACAGTGTGTAGAGAGCTTTGTGGAGGGGTTTTCATGGCTGAGCATCTGCATCCAAGCCTTCCATCACCAAGTGCAATGCAAAGCGTTGGATGCAGTGGTGTAAAGCACACGCTACCACTGGACTCTAGAACAGTGGAGACATGTTCTCTGGAGTGACGAATCACGCTTCTCTGTTTGGCAATCCGATGGATGTGTCTGGGTTTGGTGGTTGTCAGGAGAACGGTACTTGCCTGACTGCATTTTGTCAAGTGTAAAGTTTGGTGGAGGGGGGGGATTATGGTGTTGGGTTGTTTTTCAGGGGTTGGCCTTAGCCCCTTAGTTCCAGTGAAGGGAACTTTCACTGGATTAGCTTGTTAATGGCAGGCAATCCTGCATATAACTACTATAAATTAAATATGATGCAGGCAGATTGTGTAGCTGAACTTCAACTAATGTTTTTTTCTTAAAGTTCAACTAAACGTTCGACCTGCATCATATTTGTCTTATGGAAGTTATATCCAGGACTGTCTATATTTGCCATCCATTAACAAGCTATAATAGTGGAACTTGCCAGCAGAAGTGAGCTGAAGCTCCACTAGCCTATTAGCTGTTTTACATATACATGCATAACAGCCATCTTATAAGGTGGGGATAATTATATTTGAATTTGTAGTAGATGACTACTCTTAGAAGTGTTTCTCCCATTTATTTTCTTTTAGGTTTCATTCACACTATACATGCATGAAAACTGATGGAAACTGATGCGCAGATTTCACTTGCAGAAACATCAGTTTACATCAGTTTTCATGCACGTTGCAATGAGTGTTATACACGTTGTGGATTCATGTTCAGAAAAAAATCTGCACATGATTCTAGTGTTGTGGTGAACAATTTGATTTTGTTGTGCCCCAGAAGGCATGTGAACAGGGCACATAGAGAAACAATTGATTTTGTTGTGCCCTTGCAGAAGGCATGCAGAAAAACTGATGGAAACTGATGCGCAGATTTCACTTGCAGAAACATCAGTTTACATCAGTTTTCATGCACGTTGCAATGAGTGTTATACACGTTGTGGATTCATGTTCAGAAAAGAATCTGCACATGATTCTAGTGTTGTGGTGTAGTGTGAACAGGGCACATAGAAAACAATTGATTTTGTTGTGCCCTTGCAGAACGCATGCAGAAAAACTGACGTCTCTGCACACTGGTGTGAATGAGGCCTTAGATGGTGAAGCATTGAACTCCCTCCTTTGCCTCCCCTTATACAGCACTTTGTACCTAAGCTGCCAATCGTCAGGCCAAACTGCTGTCATGTGTGGGCAGGGGGAGTGTCCATCATGCTGTGCAAGCTCTGACCCACAGCCAGCCTGGGATTTAACACAGTAGTGTTTGGCGGAAAGCAGATACAAGGGCCTTAGGGCCGGTTCACACCAAAACATGGTGATGGAAAGGCTCATTCTTTGTGCTTCTCCTGCACCACAGGAGAACACTCTGCCCAAATTCAGATCACAAGCACAACACTTTTGTGGGCACCCATTTTCATGGTACCCCAGTACCGTGCAGTTTGGGTGTAGTGCATTTTGAAAAAGTAATGCAAGCACTACTTTTTTCATGTTCCAGAGCATTTTGCAGTGCACTAAATTAATGGGCTATCAAAATGGATAGTACAGGAATGCATAGAAATCACATGAGAACACATGCATTCTGGTGTGAACTGGCCCTTACAGAGCCCCTAAAGCTGAATTCCAGGGCAAAAGCTAAATACACAGGTAAATACATAATGAGAGCTGTTTTATGTTTCTGTCCATCCCGTTCTGACATTTACACAGCCCAACCACACATCACAGGTATGTCTGATATGAGGTGGTCTTCTCATCCCTTCCTATCACCATGCTCCTTGCACTGCATCACAACCGATTGGTTCTTGTTTTTCTCCTGTATGGACTGTGCTGTACAGGGACTGCAAGAAACTGATACCAAGCTTGCTGAGACTTATTCAGGTATTGAGACTGCATGTCAATGAATTCATAGAGCTGCATTAATTTATGTCTTTTATATATGAGCATAGTCTTTTGCTTACGTACATATTTCTCACGGCACTAAAATTCTGGTAACAAACTTCCTAAACTTCCATCCACTGAAAAATAAGAAGCACTGCAGAAGTACTGCAATCAGCCTGCTGTAGACATTAGAGATGAGCGAAGTATTCAAAAATTCGATTCGGGCTGATTCGGCGAATTCGAGGAATAAATTTGATTCGAGGCGAATATATTCGCTGCGGAATTTAACTTATAAAAGGGTGTTTCTAGGCTCAGAGAGCCTTTATACTTAGTGCAGAACACTGCTACTCTTTAATTTAAATGCCCTTGGAGTCTGCCTGGGGAAGAGAAATAATACTGTCAGTCAGTAAGTCCATGGTATGACATGCAGATGAGTGCCGAGTCGATCTCTAGAATCACCGCCACACTTCACTCATTTGGGCAGTCACGGGGCCAAAACTCAGAGTGTGGAGCCACAGTGTGGCGTGGTGGAAGGCAGCAGCAATGGGAGGCCATACAGCCCCTATGACAAAATGGAACCCACCAGGCAGTGTGAGGAGACCTGAAAGATGGCACATGGGCACGAGTGTGGCGATGGAGACAGCAGCAATGGGAGGCCGGTACAGAGGACCCATGGACACACTCGTGGACTGTTGGGACCAGCAGCATGACCAGGAGGCGGTACGGGGGGCCCATGGCAGATTACGGGCCCTGGCCCCCAGACAGCAATGGGGGAGGCCCGTAATCTGCCAGCCAGCACCCTATGACAAAAATGGAACACACCAGCAGTAGTGAGGAGACCTGAAAGTGGCACATGGCAAGAGTTATGGCGATGGAGACATGCAGAGCAATGGAGGAGCAGGCCGTACAGGGTCCCCATGAGACACTCTGGACCTGGCAGCCAGCATGAGGATGGCGGTAGTACAGGGGCCCATGGCCAGAGTACAGGGGCCTGGCTAGCAGCATGGGAGGCCCGTAAGGTTCTGCCAGCACCCTTATGGACAAAATGGAAACTGAAGGCCACCAGCAGAGTTGTGAGGAGACCTTGAAAAAGATGGCACATGTTTGGGGCATGATTCATGAGCGGATTTAGTCTGTTGTGTCAGGAACTGGTGGTTTGAAATCAGACTAATCCACCGACGCCTGATTACATTTTCACCAAACGTGAGTCTCATGTCTCTCACTCTTTGGGTGGACAGTCGTGTCCATCGCGCGGAGTGTACCATATACCTCCTGCCGCACTAAACACGCGCGCTCGATGCCACGCAGCTACTGGGCCAGGGCATGACAGCCTTTCAAGGGCAAATTCAGCTAGTTGGGGCCAAAGGTCAAGTTTCGTTGCCCAGTAGTCAAGGGGATTGTAGCTACCTCGGTTGGCAGGGTGCTGTCCAAGTAGGCCCAAGCCTGTTGTTTGAGGTCCTGCTCCAGGTCCACCTGATGCTGCTGCTGAGCTGCGGCTGGTTAGTAGTTTCCTCACTGCGCTGGTGAAGAAAGCTACTCATCATCGACTGCAGACATGTGGCAGCCGCTGCTGGCTGGAGCTGCCACTGCTCCTACCACCCCACCCACCCCTCCCCTGCTGCAATGGCATGGCGGGAACGCGGGGGGGACGGAGCGCACAGGGCCCACATGTGTCTGAGGATGGATCGTTGGCGCAAAGGCAGAGACCAATCTGACTACATAGACGTGGTTTTTATAGTACGTTTATTTTGGCCTCCCTCTCAGCAGGTGTGAAAAAGGCCACCATTTTTTGAACGGTTTTTAGCGAGGGTATCAACAAGAGTGGACAGCCAAAAGTCATCCCTCTGTCTGATGGTTATTATTCGGCTGTCGCTACGCAAGCAACCGAGCATGCTATGGGCCATTTGTGGTGCCAAGGAATGCGAGGGACTCCCTGCCTCCATCTCCACAGCATACTGCCACGGTGTGTCTGGGATCTCTGTCTCCTCCTCCTCCTCTACCAGATGCTCCTGCTCCTCCACTCCTGTCCGCTGAGTGGAAAAACCACCCATTTCACTCAATAATTCCTGAGCACCAATGTCCTCCTCTACCTCCTCCTCTTCTACCTGTCCTGCCCCCTCACTGGGGTCATGTGGCGTTGTTTGAGCATTCTCTGTGCGCCACGTCTACCGCGGACCTGACCAGCCATTGTTAACAGCATTTGTTCCAGGACGCTTGCAACAGAGGAATGACGTCGTTCATCTCCATAGTCCTGCCGACTCACGAATAGCATGGCCTCCTCAAAGGGCCTGAGCAAGCGGCAGGTTGTCACGCATGAGCTGCCAATGGCTGACATCGAAGTTACACAGGGATGAGTACCTTTATCCGCTCATGTTAACATCAGGAAATCGGTGATGGCCTTTCGCTGTTCGTAAAGGCATGGGTGGTCTGTTCTAACATTGTGTAGGGTTGAATTCCACCTTTTGTTGCAACGTCGCAGATCAGGCGATGCGATTGTGGAATTCCGTTCTGCCGCTGCAGCTCAAGGTGGGGTGTGCTTTGCGGTGTAGGAAATGGCTGCCTGAAATGCATGCAAAGTTTACGTGACATTTTAAGGATGTCTTGCAGTGGGATGGTGATATTTTAGGAACCGTGGAGCTTGACAACCAGATTTGAACACGTGAGCCATGCATGGCGCATGGCACAACCTTCCTTGACGCAGAGCAGCAGACACCATGTTCTTTCCGTTGTTCCGGTCGGTCAACATGGTTCCGATTTTCAGTTTGCGTCGGAGACAGCCATCTGTCGATTTCTCTGTTCATTACACTCAGAAGTTCCTCCCCTGTGTGACTACGTTCGCCAAGGCATACCAGGCTGCCAGCACAGCGTGACACCGTTGCGCCCTGCACATGTGATATGACCGGGTTCGTAGGTAATGGGACTTGGGGGGGTAATGGGAACTTGGCAACGATGGGGTGGCCGGCTGAGGACACGTCGCGGAAGAAGAGGTGTGGTAGAGGCGGACATCTTTGCCGGACCAAGGACGTGCATCAAACGTGGAGGC